ATAAAAAATAAAAAATAATTTTTATAATAAAAATAAAAAAAATTTATATTACTTTTTTCAACTTCGCCAAAATACCCCCTTTTACTTTATATTTATTGCACTTTCGCTTAATTAACATATTAATTGCTATTTAAATTTTTTTTCATAAATAGCAAGACAACCAGAACAATCATAATTCTTATAATCTGCATTTATAAGCATGTATACTTTATGAACTACAATTATTGATGTAGCCTTAATATACTTTAATATTTTCAACATTTAATCAAATCAAAAATATCACTTTAATTATTATGCTTTTTTATCAAGTGATATTTCATGGATTTTTCTATCAAAAGAAAATTTTATTATTAGATAAATACTATATGTTGATTTATATCTAATATTACTTTGCTCTGTAGACTTTTATAATAATGCTATTTTTAAGTTATGAATTTTATTGACCCTCCTGTTTTTAGAAACTTAAATATTAATATTGCACTAATCTTACGCCAAAATAATATGCACAATGGTTATTTTTAAACCAGATATATTATATAAATAAGTATGTTATAATAAACTATTTAAAAAATAACTGACTATAATTAATAATGAATATACCTTGCAATTTTTTTTATAATGATCTACATCTCCACAGTTTTTACATCGATGCTGAGATTTTGTTTTAGACTTATAATCTTCTTGTGATGACTTAAATCACTTGATACCTAAAAGGCGTCCTTTTCTTTGACGATGTTTTAGATTTTTTAAATAAGTTATTGTAGAATCACCTTCTTTTTCATTATTACTTTCTTCTAAACCTGATTGCCTGCTACTATCTTTAGCAAACTCCTAAAGTAAAGCAATAAGTTATTGTAATTTTGAATTAGTTTCTAATGCCTTATTTAAGGCTTTTTTATATGCACTGTGAACTTTTTCATAAATAATTTTTTGCTCAAGAACTGTTAAGTTTTCTTCACAAAAATCTTTACAATTTTGATCAAAAGAATACAAATAAGACATCCTGATATCTAAATTATGTGTTACATTTTGATCTTGCATAAACTTGTCAGCAAACAAAAATGGCTGCTCCAAACTATTTTGACATTCACGGTACTATCTAGTTGGAATTAGTCTAATATGAAATGAGGCACTTTTTGTAAGTAACATCACCTGAAAATAGTGCTTACAAATAATTCTACATCTAATTATAGAAAGACATGTACATATATATCTATAATTATGTAATAATAAAATATGATGCTTGATGTTTGATGAGTTTCTAACATTTACAGCCCATATTTTTTTAATATTATAAGAGTCTACGAATTTGACTATTTGTTTTAATGTTGTCTGTGGAGTATCAACTAATGCTTCAATATTTATAGGTAGGTTATCTTATTAAAATTATAATATTTCTAGTTAGCTATATATAAAATAAAAATTTTTATTAATACAACATATAAGAATAAAAATTATTTACCTCATCTGAGCTTTCAGATCCTTCGTTATTAACAAAACTTGCTGAATAATATAATGATTGATTCATTTTGTCTCTATGCATTTTTAGCATAGTAGGTGTTAAATATTGTTGAAGGTATTGGTCTATCTTAATAAACAGAAAATTTGTATCATTTTGACTACGTGTAGTAGGAATTGATAATTTTTAAAAATTGTACTCATTTTCCTTGTCTTGTAAATCAAGAAGCTGATGAATTTCAGTCATAAGATCACATAATGATATGTTTGAATTATATAACAGATATTTTAGACACCTATTTACAGATTCTATATGAAAGGTTGCTATCATACTGTTACAGTACGGTGGCCTTCTTAACAGCATTACTATAACATTGACACGGCTACAGGGATCCTTCACAGG